CACACACACACACACCACACCACACACACACACACACACACACACACACACACACACACACACACACACGCTGAGATAAAGAGAGCATGTGTGATGATAACTGGAGAGTGAAGTTGCTAGCTGGCGAGCACCAAGGCGGACAGCAGCCCTGCAATGGGAGAAAGGAAGCACGAAAGGATTCCGAGGAACGCGAGCCTGCTGACACCTTGACAGTGGACTTGAAGCCTCCAGACTAAGGCAATAATCTCTTTCTGTCTTGGGTGCTCAGTTTGAGGCACTCTGTTAGGACAGATGCAGGAAAAGTGCAGCTTTTCTCCCAGGCCACCAAGGTTTACTGAGCACCATGGTGCTCCCTGCTGGACATTGAGTTATTTCTAGGAATGCGTTGCAAATGCAGTGTGACTCCTTCCCTGGGGATCAGCCACACTGTGGGGTGTGGATGATTTGGTAGAGCTGGCCTTGGTAGGAGGAGAGCTGAAAAGACAGCCTGGCTCCCTGGAGTTTTGTAGCATACTCTAAAGTAACGTTTGAATTATATGTTTCTTTCCAGGGATGCAGGGTGTTTAAAAAGAGGTAGAGTGAGAACCAGAAAACCTGACAAGAGGCAGTTATGCAAACTGCAGTTTTCAGCTTCTGTGTTTATGAAGGCAGCATGTTTACAGGCAGGAGAGGCTGAGAACCATAAACCAGTTCCGTTTGCGTTTCTTTGCCATCTCTTGTAGCTTCCGAATTCTCCAATTGCCGTGCAGTTTGAAATCTGTGTATTTTGTTGATAATCACTCTTGAGTTTTGCATAATGGCTTTGTGATATAGGTTGTGCATTTCAAATATGTGGTGCGTTTGATCTCAGGAGCGCATTAGCAGCACCCAGCAAATCTGGAGTGTCTGTATTAAAAGTTAAGCTAAAGGCAAGGGTAGCTCCCCCCACCCCCTAACAAAGGCCTTTGTCTCTTTCTAGCTATTATCATGTGTAACTAGAAAGAGAGTTTTAAAAGTAGCTGAACTGAGTGAGGTGGTAGAGATTCATTTTTAACCTCCCGGTGAGCTGTGACAGGAAGGTCACAATGAGTAAGTCTTCCTGTCATATGTTCCCCATATCTAATCCTAATACCTGCCATAGGGGCCTATAAACTAATCACCGTTTCCCTGGTGGGTAGTATCAGTTAAGCCAAAGCTTGTCAGCATTTCTTTCCTAATTTTAAGCAAATGTATTAAATTATGAGTCCTGGAAAATTAGGAACGACGTGAACTCATTTCCTGTCTCTTTCACTGAGTAAATTAAAATTCACTAGAGATAAAACTAACAGCAGGCAAAAATGTCCTCTTCCCTTTGGAACTGTGGTGACTTCAGTAGAAGGCTTTCACTCAAAACAATAACAAAAAACTGGTTTTTTGCCAATGAGGCACTGGTTTGTCTCATTTCTAGCATAACAAAAGAAATGAAGTCGATTTATGAGGCTCAGATTATACTTCCTCATGTCATGAAGTTCCTAATCCTGTTAGACATACGATTATGTCTTCCCTGCCTGAAGAATGATTCACTGCTCCTCTCGGGCCATTGCCGTAACAGTGAGCTTCATCACTGGTCCACTGTGGCTCACTGGGAGCCATTTGGATTGGCCATTGGATTGCCAGTCTTGATGGTGCTCACCAATGGTTTGTGTTTGTTTGCTTCATCCGGGTGGATCGTGGGAGGGTGTGATGAAGCTTCTCTAAGCCTCTGCAGCAGGACATAGGGAAGTCAATCTAGAAATGACCTGGAAACATGCTCCCTGCTTGCTAGCTTCCCTGGTGTCAAAGGTGCTGTGCCAGCCCCTGGAGAAGAAAAGGCATCATCTGACTTACCCATTGGTGGACTCAGCATATGGTGATACTGACCTGCCAGGCAAGACACGCCCATAGGTGCAATAGCAGGGGGATATTTATGGAAGTAGCCAACCGTTTCATAATTGGATATGAGGGCTATTACACATAAGGGAATCCATGTCTAAACTTAAAAACCTATTCAGAATTCATGGTTGGAGAGGTCACAAGGCCAGGGGTCAGGAAAACCACTACAGTTAGCTCCTAAACAGACTCATTGCAAACTGCCTTTTAAATATTTATATCTATTCTTATAGATCAGTGTTGCTCTCAGCTTGGATCAGAGAAGCTTCTTTCTGCTCATAACGGGTCAAGTACTGAGAATAACCAACTGTTGAGTGCTCAGCCTTAAATGGGGCACCTGGTTGACCCCCACAGAGGGCAGGGGACAATGTGGAAGAAGGCACAGAAAGACTGTAAGAGCTGGAGGATGGTGAGGAGTTGTGTGAAATGCTGTCTTCAGGACACGAGAGGCTGTTCAATCAGAAGCTCACAGCAGCTAAAGATCTCAGCTCAAGACCTGCATGAGAACGAGCCAGTTAAATTTCTAAGCTGGATGGGGCAGCAGCTTTGGAGGTCCCATCCCTAACCGAGGAACTTTTGGCAACTGATGGCTGCTGGGGAAGGAAAGTCACTGTGACCACTGGTCGGCTGCCCATGCTAACTGGACTGAGGAGGCATGATGGTTTGAATGAGAATTGTCCCCAGAGGTTCCTATGTTTGGAGGCCTAGTCCTCCAGTTAGCGGAACTTTGGTGTTTCCAAAGCGCATCCCTGGCTCTGTCTTTTTCTCTCTGCCTCCGACTTGCAGATCAAATGTGAGCCCTCAGCTACTGGACCAGTGCTGTGCCTGCCTGCCGGGTGCCATGCTCCCCACCAGGATGATCATGGATCCACACTCTGAAACTATAAGCAAGCCAATCAAATGCTTTCCTTTATAATAGCCTTGGTCATGGTGTCTCTTCACAGCAATAGAAAAGTAACTAAGAAGGTAGGTTATAAAACATCATGAAGGATTCCAAAGGTTGGAGGTGCATGTGTTAAGCATTGAGGGAGACTCAGAGGGGCAGTGAATACTATAAATATGAGTTGTACACATGTGTGAAATTATCAAAGAATAAATAAAAATATTAAAAATATAAAGGAACCTTGTACCTCTGGACACTGTGGGAATTGAAGACAGTGAGCATCACTGAAGGCTACTGCTCTATGCTCCTATTGTGAATGCAGCCCTATGTGGTAGAGACACAGTAATGGATTTTACTGTTTATTAAATAGAGTAGGAGCCAGTGGTCATCCCAGTGAAAAAGAAACAGACAGGTGGAATGAGGGGGTAATTTTCCCTATTTAAGCAGCCCCAGCCTCTGAAAAAAGAAATTAAATTTAGCTTTCTAGGTTGAAAGAAAAACTTTAAAAAAAAATCACATTTTTGTAGTTGAATACATTTAGAGAAAAAGACCTTCCCAGAGCTACACAGCTGCTTCTCTAATTCACATATTATTATAAATAAGCTCTGAGCATTAGGAATCAAGAGTTCACATAGTCTCTTCTTTCAATATTACATGGCACACATGTTGACATTTTACACGCAACTAATTACTTGTAAAATATTTAATTCTTCAGAAAATATGTGTCTCAGTTGTTGTTGTTTTTTTTTAATTGCTGTGATAAAGACCATGACTGAAAGCAACTTAGGAAGAAAAGGGTTTCATCTTACAGCTTATAGTTCATAATGAAGAGAAGTCAGGGCAGGAACTTGGATGCCAGAACTGAAGCAAAGACCATGGAGGAGTGCTGTTCACTCGCTTCTTCTTTGTGGCTTTCTTATCTACTCAGGGCTACCTGTAATGATCCGGGCCCTTCCACAGTAATCATTAATCAAGACAATAGCCCACGGACTTGCCACAGGACAATCCTACAGAGGCATTTTCTCAATTAAGATACCCTCTTTTCCAGATATGTCTAGATTTCTGCCAAGTTGACGAAAACTAGCCAGAACATCTCCCCATTTTTGTTGAATACATCACTTTCCTGTTCCACAAGAAGAGAAAGAAAATGAATTTGCACTGTTTTAAGTTCCCAGGTTTGGTTTGACTTGTTGCACTAGAGTCATAGAAAAAAAATAACCCAGTGAAGAAGCTAGAGCCATGGTGATGGGGGCCACCACCAGTAGTTGACACCACTGCATGCAAGAGTGGACAGCCCATAGGAGCAGACCGACGGAGGGTGGTGGCCAATGGAGGTGTGAGCAGAAGCCTCCAGGTAACACACAGGGATCTCATTTGTATGGTGCCAGTGCAGCTGCGTGTCTTGAAACCTGTTCCTGTTGGCATCCCATGAACTGCTTCAGAAAACGCGAGGGCTCAGAAAATCTCTGGGCAGCTCTGCCTGTGCGCTATTGACCATCTCCACCTTCAGATGGTCTGGTCATCAATCTTCACATAGTTGACAATGATCTCATAACGTACATGCTAGATTTTGTCACACAGTCTTTACTATTGTGTACTTCAAATACACTCAGAACTGATCCAGAACTTAAAAGTTTAAATATTTGCATATATTATTTTATTTTTGAGACACGGTTTCTCTGGGAGGCCTGGCTGTCCTGGAACTCCCTCTATAGACCAGTCTGGCCTGAAACTCAGAGATCCACCTGCCTCTGCCTTCCAAGTGCTGGGATTAAAGGTGTGTGTTGCCACTGCCCGGCAAATTTACATAATTTTAAAGGAATTTGTTTTCCTAGTTTGTACTTTTCGTTCTTGAATTATAGCTTCCTAATCTGGTCTGTAATGTGTTTTCTAGGTTGCAAGTTGACATTTTTTTTTTTTTTTTTGTTGTTCTCCTTGGATTTCATGAATAAGGAAGAGGAACATGCCGGGAAAAGCAGTATCCACTTGTACTTCTGGTATCACTGTATACTAGCTTTGAATGAGTGTTTGCCTTCAGTGGAAACACGGGTGGTAAGAATTGTCATATTTATCTTTTTCTTTCACACCTTCTATATTTAGAAAATTTTTATCAGTCACAGAAAGCAAGGGATCAGTGGGAAATTAAAGAAAGAAATTGGAAAGTGACTGAGGCGGATGAGTGACAATCCTTCGGAGAGAGACTTTCTGACTTCAGGGGGACAATCAGCACACCATAGCTCTCTATTTCCTCACTTGTTAGGAAATCTGGATGACAATTGTGTCCTAAACATCACTTAGCATAGTTGGGAAGGTTTTGCATTTGGGTAATAATTCTGTCATAAGTAACTTTAAATCAGATAAGCAAAAGTAAAACGGAATATCAATTTGTAAGCAACATAACCTGCAAACACTCAACACAGGACACACTGACTGAGGGCAGGACACACGGACTGAGCAGGGAAGCGGGAAGCAGGTGTGCTATGGACTCTTCTCTGACTCAGTCACCTCTGAATTACTCTCTTCCCCTTCCGAGTAATTCGTAACCAATGCCTACTTAGACGTGAAGGGGGAAACAATGACCTGGGTATTCAGTGCACAGCAGCTGAAGTCCTGAGACCACTTGGCCGTCAGAATGCCACCCTGGGGTGAATGGGGGCTGGGAGGATGCTAACCTGGAGGCCAGGCAGCCAGTGAACAGGCGTTGTCTCCCCACTGTGATGGTTCTGTGACTTCTACACCACGAAGGCTGCCATATGCTCTTGTTTTCTCCAGTGGTTGTCTTTTTTGACAAATAATAACCATCTCTGCAGCTCCTTTTGGTTTTATAATAAACCGTTGCTGTTACCATAGACTAAGTGCATTGGAAAATGGATCAAAACTGGCAAAAAAAATCACAAATGTATAGGTAACTACTGACATGAAGTGAATATTTACATTTTTCTAGGTTTCAAATGAGTGAAAGTGATGTGTATATATGTATGTGTGTATGTATGTATGTGTGACTTAATTTATTTTAAAAAATCCTATAATTTGTCTTTAAAATGACTTTTCTTGAGTTTTTAGTGATAATTGTATCTTCCATTGTGTTTATTCACGGGACAAATTATTTGGAATATATACAAGCAATGCAGTAGATGTCTTCCTAGACGTAAGATTTTACTAAAGTTCTGCAAAATCCTATTTAGGGGCTTTCGAGATGGCTCAAAGTTTAAGAGCATTTGCTGCTCTTCAGGCTTGATTCTTACCACCTAGAGCATGGCCTACCCAGTACCCACCTGAAGGAGATCCTGGCCTGTTCATCCCTCCCTTTTGTGTGAATAAATCTGGATGACCCCATGGACTGTGCTGTTTGCTGATGCAGCTGGCCTCTCTCTGGAGTTGTGGGATCAGAGACTCACACAGCCAACTAAGCAGGACCCTGACTGAGTGAGGCGTCTGTCTTCCCTTCTCAAGAGTTCTTTCCATTCCATTCTGAGCTTAACAGTCATCTTTCATAAACACCAGCAGTCTTCCCTGTGTTTACACCAATCCTCTGGGTTTCCTCTGAAGAGGTTAATTTCTGCTTTTCCAAAGAATGCAAAGCAACACGTGTACGGTGGATAGCCTCTTCAACTATTCTATTTTCTTTCTTAGCTCTGTGTCTGTCTTCCAGACCTGTGCATGGGGATGACCTTTATCTTAGCGTAGCCTTTTCTTATTGAAAAAGTGTGTCACCACAGTGGGGGCCTGGTCATGGCTAATCACTAAGACACAGCAGATGGGCAGCAGGGTAGACATCCAGGAGAAGGCAGCGGGTGGAGACTCCTCGCAGAGAGGAGACTGCTGCTGGGATTAACTTCATTCTGCGGACAGAAAGAAGGTTCCATGCTGACATGATGGCACAGGAAGAAAGCAGGTAGTTCTTTAATTTAGGCACAGGCTTTTGTATCACACTGAGTAGAGTTTTCTTTCCATTAAACTGTCCACTAGGTATCCTTATTGGATTTTGCCAGCCCCCATTCTCACAATGTAAGCCATCCTTCTGTAGCATCCCCCTACCCTACCACCTACTCACCTTTCGGAGATTTATTACTGCAGTCAAAAAACGCACGGGGTGATCATCCCTTATCAATCAGAGCAGACTGTGGCTGCAAGCTAAGTAGCACGACAAAGACAACACAGCTCTGCGTGGATTAATGTCTGCTGCAGTGGAAATAACAAAGACACCAACTGTCATTGTATCACTCCTTAAGTATCAGCACAAGGCAGGGCTCGAGACATTGTATGTGACAGGCAGTGTGACAAACAACGATGAAGGTATGACTTGGCAAGTTTCAGCAGAAGATGCTATCGCATTACGGTCTGCTGGAAAACGTGCCCAGCCTCCTGCCTGCCAACAAGAAAATGCATGGCATTACGAGAAGGTGACCTCCTCTATCTCTACCTCTGCTTGTGTCTGCACCGCCGCTTCAGAGACCGACTGGCTTGGTGGTGAACAGTGTGGAGGGCCCTTACACAAATGCATGAACGAAGACTGGGAAAAAGTAGGAAATGGAAGCCGAGTGGGGCGTGTGTGGCTGCTCAGCCAGCAGACACTCATGAGAGTGAGAGTCACTGCTAGAAACTTTATCACCACAGCCAAGGTCCCTCCTCTCTCACCTGCCTGTTCACTCTCACTCAGCCCTCTCTTCCACACCAATCTTCTCCAAAGAAGCTCAGAGTCCTGTTGAAGGGTCCAGGAATATAGAAATATAAAAATATAAGCTTAAGAGATAAAATCTGACAGTCATCAGCTCTAAAGGTTAACTGCTAACACTGGCTGTCTGCTTACAGTCAGCTCCTCTGTCAACAGCCAGGGGTTAACTTTTAATACCCTTACCCCTTATAGCCAACAACTGCCTGGACCAAAGTTAACTTTTATTTATTTATTTTTATTTTTTTTATTATTATTTTTTTTATTTTACAACACCATTCAGTTCCACATAATAGCCACAGATTCCCCTGCTCTCCCCCTCCCGC